GGGTTTTACAGAATCAAGAAATCAATGCCCATGTAATTGTTTAACATAGCGGTACAGCTATATCTGATTTAAGTTAAAAAACCGGAAGTACCCTATCCAGAAGACTAATCTTGCAAATGAATCCGAAACTGTAAAATTGTCGTCATCTGATGACCTTTAAGGTTTGAGTTTAACTTTAAGGGAAACGTAACTTTAGACTATGAAAAGGAGCGATAAAGGAAGATTGGAAAATAAAACCGATATGAAAGTTTGACAAACGATCATCAAGCACCCAATCAGGCTGCTTAGCAAGCTGCTTTGCTAGGAAGCTGTGTCCGGACACAATTAAGGTGATTGAAGACTATCAAGGTGTTAAATGACTCAATTAGGTTTGAATACAACTCGCTGATGAGACGGAAATTGTCATACATGTAACCAAATATGGAATATGAACACTTGACAGCTATTAATAATATTCTCACAGACTTCAGCAGTGTCGAACTTAATCGTCTAAATCATCGCTAAACTTCCACTCTCGATTCTCGAACACGTTGTGATTTCGATAAAATATAAATTAAAAATTAAAATACTAGCATGCCCATAATGATAAGCGAATAATCATTATTCTAATTAGTTGATCTTGATAGATCTGCAAAAAGTCTCTGTCAATAACGAGTAACAACAGAGTAGGAAATTGTGGATTGTAGATTGCTAAACTTAAGTCGATTGCTTATCAAAAGAAAAATCGGAGTCTCTAAAAATCCAGACCACCCACTTGCACTAGATACTGAGATTGGTTAGCATTTCTAAATTCACATCCAAGCACGTCGAGAATCTTATAATGCTTGTGTTGTGTGGCGACATAACCTCTCTTGTTGGGATTCCATTCTCTAACAACACAAAAGTCTGCGGCTAACTTACATAACTCATTGAAAGCACTATGCGTAGTTGAGGTAATGTTGATCAGCCATGCATATTTTAGATTTATGCTAACTCAAAAACAGCCTCTCTCTTAAAATGTTGGAAATGTCGAAAATGCAAAATTTCCGGGATAAATTAGAATTGATGATGATACCCTAACAGTGTAGACAAACTAATTAGCAACTAAGAGTAAGGCTACATGCTGACTAAACTAATCCAACTTAAGCAATCTGAAAGTTGAGTCAAGTAATACAGTAATAGCGTCAGAAGAATAAGACATATATATATATATATATATACAACTGGTTTTCTTCTCTTAAAGAAAAAGGGCTCTACTAGCTGTAGCTAGGAGCATGAAATATCGGTACAAAGCAAACTATGCAATTGTCAAACTATAAGTTTCATGTTTGAAAAGCAATCTTCAGTGACATAATTAACATAAAAATGGCAAACATAATACAACACAGTGCTCCTTTATCAAATTTTATAATTAACAATTAACAATTACTCAATACTACTAAACCTATATAAATAACTACAAATCCTAATAACTAATAAATACTAACTAAATATGTCTAACTAAGAATTTCCTAGAGTGCCTACATTTAGAAATAATTTCTGATCTTTTATTAATAATGCCTGGGGTTTTAAGTATGTATAGTTTCTCGTCTAAGCAGAGGCCACAATGCCCCGCTCCAGCCTTATATTTTTTCGATTTAGTAATAATCTTCCAGTCTATGCTATATTCAATCATCTTCTCCTTGAGGTCCCATATCAATTTTGATAACTCGGTACTCAGTCTGTGCTTAGAATTCTTAAAACTTTGTCGATGATTGTACCACCGTGTCTTAAAACTGTTTTCAGTCAATCCAATATAGGCCGTTTCCTTGTTAGGACAAGGAAACGGCCAAGGAAACGGCCTATATTGGATTGACTGAAAACAGTTTTAAGACACGGTGGTACAATCATCGACAAAGTTTTAAGAATTCTAAGCACAGACTGAGTACCGAGTTATCAAAATTGATATGGGACCTCAAGGAGAAGATGATTGAATATAGCATAGACTGGAAGATTATTACTAAATCGAAAAAATATAAGGCTGGAGCGGGGCATTGTGGCCTCTGCTTAGACGAGAAACTATACATACTTAAAACCCCAGGCATTATTAATAAAAGATCAGAAATTATTTCTAAATGTAGGCACTCTAGGAAATTCTTAGTTAGACATATTTAGTTAGTATTTATTAGTTATTAGGATTTGTAGTTATTTATATAGGTTTAGTAGTATTGAGTAATTGTTAATTGTTAATTATAAAATTTGATAAAGGAGCACTGTGTTGTATTATGTTTGCCATTTTTATGTTAATTATGTCACTGAAGATTGCTTTTCAAACATGAAACTTATAGTTTGACAATTGCATAGTTTGCTTTGTACCGATATATATATATATAATGTATATATCGGTAAGTATATATTATAAACAAAAACTGAAGTTGTTTTGGTAAACCAATAGCGATCGAATGCTTTCGTTTTTAGCACCGCGATTTGAACACTATCAGCTCAAATCATCACCACAATATATCAGTGACTTTACCTGATTAATTTAGTTATAACCATTTACCTGGTGAAGCTGGTAAGCATTAAGAGCATTTGTTTGTACCGTGTCATCCTTTTTCTGGCTCCATTTAAACTTTGCGTCGATTCCCATCTTTCTTCACGCGCTACCAATATACGGATAAATATCAACTTGGCACTACAAATTCACGATTGAAATTTCTTCACTTTTCATCAAGAGTCAATTTCAAGACGATAACAAAAATAGAACCAATATATTTCCACAGAGGTAAAAATGCAACGAAGAATACGGTAACTTAACATCAATGCATGGTGAATATTGAATAACAGTAAAGAACGAAACATAATATTAATAAAGCCACTTTCGAGTGTTAAATATTGGACTTAAATACTGTGACACGATCGCAGAGGTAGTTCCGCTTCGCTACTCCGAACTACTAGTTCTAACTTCTACTATCTTTACCGCGGTTCATTGCCGGTAAATGATGGAATAAGGCTCTGATCTTGCTCCACCCGACGATTTCAATACTATTTTATAGAATTAGAAGGATCGGGTATATTCTCTTTTGTATCATCAGAAGAGACGACCTGGTGATCTATTTTATACAGTGTATCGTTTCAGAGGAAAATTAGGAATACGCCGCAGATAAGAGACAGCAATAGATGATAGAAGCTATTCTTGCAATATTTCAAATAAATAATCAACACTACAAGCTATCAAGCTAAGTTCAAGAATCTACCTCCAATAACTGGTATTGAAAGAGACAGGTCGAAAGTGAGACGAAATCATTGCAAACACGCGAACCCACCAAAATCTAAATGTAAAAATTAGCGCTGACGTTAGGAGGCTTACTTAGAATGATTAAGAAATCGGATGGTACCTTTAGGACAAATCTAAAGAGTTATGTTAGGAAATTTATAGGATTCCCCTCTGCAACTTCGGCAATTCTTCTAAGCAGCTTAGAGAGTCAAGGGAGAAATCAAGCTTTATGCTTATGACAGCTTTATATATAAAATGTTATAAAATTTAGTATAAAATCTAGTAAGCACATATAAATAAGGTCCGATTAACCCCTTACGGCCTAATACTCCCTAAAACATCTCAGGACCTAGCAGATATGTGTTAAAAATCTCAAAATAACGGGAGGCCATAATGATAATGATAAAACGAACTAGCGACTCCACAATAAATACATCGGTTATTATCCAAAATAGTTAACACTAAACATAAATATTACCTGATGAGGGTCATCAGAGTTAAGCACGTTAACTCTAATAACATCTAGGTTTGTATCTCTTGAAATTGCTTCGTCCTGGTCACGCATTCTCCCTCATTTCCTCCAACCCAAGTTCTGAACAAGTTCTCAAGTGATCAGGTCTTATCGGAAGATAACAAAAACAACTTCAAAATAATGGTCTCACTTCATTAAAACAAAAAAAACTTCAAAGCACTGGTTTTACTTCACAACCAGCCGAGCTAATGACCGACCGAAAATGTAATGTGAACTCAAGAATTCCATCACAGATTTAATTTCCCTGTCGACACGAGGGTAATGACACGACGAGGAGGTGCCTCCTCGGTCCTTAGTTCCAGCTAGCAAACAAAACTTTTATTTCATCAGAATGTGAAAAGGTCTATCAAACAATATAGACAAATAATTGCAGCATTGGTCATCATACAACTTTATGTTTGGATGTCTTAATACAATTCAATTAATGAATTTAATAAAACGGTAAAAAGTTTAGAAATCTGAGTAGAATTTATAAAAACCTTTGTAACAAGTGTAGCCCGATGACAATTCAATTTAATTTCATACGAATCGAGTTATTTGATTCGTGCTGGAATTTTAGCTATATAGACCTATTTTATTACACGAACGATTATCGTACAGCAGTCAGCACCAGTACCACTGATTGGAAACGTGCCAAATATCCTAGAAATATCGCGTAATTATCACCGATGGCTTAGAGCTAATGACCCGTCACAATTTTAGAATATCAAACCTGAAATATGGAACTCGCATACAGAAAATACAGTTTTTAAAGGCAGACTGTCGGCTAGCTAAACTAATTACCAGCATGTGAGCATGGGTCTTCACTTAATTTCAAGTCTGATGTCTCTAGCCAGATGGACGTACGTGGCCTGGGTACAGGGTAAGTGTTCACCTTTAGAAACAGAACTAAGACGGCAGATCCGCAAAAGTTATCCTTTTTTAAATCATGTGCTTCGCTAGACTTTTCATCCAGCATCATCTATTGCTTTCAAGACTCATGGTAGACAGATCTCTCAAAATTAAAAACATTTAACTGAAAGATTTATGGAAACTTTCTAACGAATTTTCTACCAGCAGCTTTCTACAGATAAGCTCACATCTGGATCTTAAGGAAGGCTAGACATTTTCGGTGATGAAATAGATAACTAAATATTTACATATCCTCATTTGTAGTATGGTATGGATTATTACTTTTATTTATTTTTTGTGTTCTGACGTGATTGAATTGACTTCAGTGCTATTTACTCGATATAAAGATAAAAGAGAACATATAAAATGGTTGATTGAAGTTATTAAATCACAGCTGTATATCCAGATCCAGACCTGGCGACTAAAACTCTACTTCCTGATCCTCTTCTACATCGAAGGCACTTCGATAATCTTCTTCCAGTGCTTCCAGATTTTCTCTAGCCTCGGAAAACTCGCCCTCTTCCATGCAGTCGTTCACATACCTGCAGGGTCAAACAAGGTTTAGTTTGTGATCCGAGCTAACATTAAAAGCGTAAAATTGGACCAACGTATTCAAATACGGTTGTATAAGTTGAAGAATGTAGAGTTTCGACTGGAAGCAAATTATTTTGGGGGGGGTGTAACCCAAAAAAACCCAAAAATACCCAATCCCAGTATTACCTTTTTCAGGGTAGGAGTTGGGTTTTTTTGGGTTTTTTACAAATTTTTCATTTGAAGGAAATAAAATCATGTAGGCACCTAGCAAAACAATTATCAGTACAACATCACTGTTGTGGTTCATCACTACAACATCACAGTAGATATAATCGCTCAGAAGAAGTTGGCCATCCAGATATGATATCAGCCGTATGTAATTGCTCACTTCGATGGCCATGGCAAATTGAGTTAGTAGGGACGCAACTCACTGATGACCCGCAACCGGTACGAGAGGAATAAAGCCTTTCTTCTCATCTTCACGATCTCTGTTTCCGTTTTCCTGATCATCCGCTGAACGAGAAACCATGCTCTATCTCCAACTGAAAGAATCTTGTAGTTACCATCAGCTGCATGATCACATGTGATATTAAGTGATATCTTCGCCTGTTTATGGCCCTGGAGTCGCTAAAATCTTGACTGGGATGGCATTCGATCTCGCCCTCCATTGAGGCAAACCTCAATCATGATGCAGAGCATCACCATACACAGTTACTATTTTCGCCCATTCCTCTGATGAGTCAATATCCTCCACTTCCTCTTCGTTATCATCTGTTTCCGCTTCGTCACTCTCTGCTCCGTCAGAAGATGGTTGGAAAGCCTCTCCTTCAAAGTTACAGTGTTCTTGAGTGAGTTCTCTACCCCTTGAGACTCCCTTCTTCATAGCTTGGAACAATCTTGGGATTGAAGTATCTTTACTTCAAAATAGTTTCTCTGCTTTCGGATGCGGTATAACAAGCTTGTTGCGAGAGTGGGCAACTGTTACAGGGATCAAACTTTTGCCGAGTGCATCAAGCTCGAGGGAACGGTTTGATTTGCCCATGCCAACCAACATATCCTTAGAACACAGATTAGTTCTAATGCCTGCATGGAGGCCTATGCGCAGGAAGGCATAAAGTTTGCTCGCAGGCATCGGATGTAAACAGCCAGGGCATAAAGTGTTGATAACTGTTGTCAGCTGTTATACTGAGAATGCACAGCATCAGACCATCGACTGTAATAATCGCATCATCAACATTTTTACAGACGTAGGCAGGTGGTCTTTCAATGGCTGTGTGAAGCTTAGGTGGCCCAAGGCGTCACCGCTGGATAGAACCTGGGTGGAAGCCCTGGTCTGATGTGAGGCTCCCGAACTTTGAAAAGGGGTATCCTGCTGGTGCCCTCTTCCAGACACTCATCGGACAGCATTATAAAAGCCACTACCTCCGCGTGGTGAAGACTGGATACTGGACAGGGGGTCCAGGCTAAAGGCAGGACGGTCGACGGGAGACATTGAGCCCTGGAAGTTCAATAATTTGATCTATTGACTCCTTAACTCTTGGTCTACAAGAGGCTTTGAGACTCGTAAATCTTTACTGTGGATTTCACAGTAACTAAAGAGGTGTTGGCTGTTACCCTGTTCAACCTAGTCTACTATGACCCAGCTAGACTGGACCACACTCTGGTAGTCAGGATACGGCTCCCTATGCCCGGGGTACCGGGTAACGAGGTAGTCAGGGGAAGGGTTAGTCCCCGCTAAAGTGTAGCTCTGCTCTCACTCTAACCTCCTTACGCTTTGGGATAAAATCGGAAAGTCCCACACTGGAGCAGGTGACGATTGGGTAAGGATTACAACTGATGCTGTTGGGTAGAAAAAGGAAGTGTCACATTTGTCTTGTATAGCATATATGTTCGTGCAATTACATGCTCAAGATACCCAAGATATTATGGTGAGAGTTAAATATGGCTATTGTTCAAGCGGATGCCCTTAACCTTTTAGTGGCGCAAGAGTTAAGAATACAATCCACTGCCAATGTGCAGGGGACTGCACAGAATTGTGAGCCAACTGAAAAGTCAAGATGAAGTTTATCAACAGCTTAAGGGTTAAAGCCCCTTATTTTTCTAGTGGAAGTGGTTTCCGGGGTAATTACACTGCTATTACAGAAGCTGATGACTCGGTCTCCACAACACGACAACCTATTTCTACAGAAAGTCAAACAAGAAAACATCAAAAAAATATGAACATCAATTGCATTGTATCATGTAAAAGGGCTGCTCAGGTTGGCACGTTTAACATAAGAACAGCCAGAGAACAGCACAAACGCATCGAACTTGAAGAACTATTTTCTCGAAGCAAGCTGCACATCCTTGCCCTGCAAGATTCGAACATCGGGTAGTGCATGCTGATTGCTGAGAATACCAGAATAGAAAAGATGAACAAAGGGATTCATCCAGTGATCTCATCTGCGTGGAGAAACGCAGCTGGCGCTTCTAATGGGAGAGTAGGAATCATCTTGACGAGGACAGCATATGAGGCTATAAGTCTTATAAAGTTATAAAATCTTACAGCGCAAGGATCCTCACCATGTCTCTTAATGGAAAGCCCAGGCTCACTGTCATCACATGCTACAGTCCTACAGAAGCCTCATCTGATGAGGAGGCAGGAAATCTCTTTTGTCTAAAACCAAGGATCTTACAGTTAATTTAGTAGGAGAGGAGCCACACACAATAATTTCTAAGGACGGACATGCCTTAGAAGAAGTTGAGGATTTTAGTACAACGGAGCACGACTTTAGGTTACGCAAGGCCAAGGCATGGGCTGCCTACCACAAAATGTAGGCTATATGGAGGTCCAATTTGCGCCGAGATTTAAAGATCCGTCTGTTCAAGCTACGGTTGAATCAATCTTCCTGTATGGAACGAAAACGTGGACAATAACAGAATCTTTGAAGAAAAGAATAGACGGATGTTACAGTAGAATGCTTCGGATGGCCCTAAACGTGGACTGGAGGGGACATCGCACCAACAAGGAGGTCTTTGGATCACTCCCAAGAGTTATTTCGAAGATACAGGCCAGAAGAATGAGGTTGGCTGGGCACATCCAGCGACATGATGACCTGGCAGCACACCAACTTCTCCTTTGGGAACCTAGGGAGGGGTAGACCACCGCTCACCTTCGCCGATAACCTAATAAGTGACTCTGGACTCAAGAACACTGGGGAGATTAAGGAGCTTATGGCGGACAGAAAGCTTTGGAGACACATCATCGAGAGTCGGACTCTGAAGCCGACTGAAGTAATTTAAGTCATGTGCTTTGACTTGCCTTGACCTTCGTCATAGCCTCCTTCCATGACAGGAGAACACATTTGCCGCATTTCGCACATTTCCACTTTGTGCATTCATATGGATTATATCTCGATGAACGAGACATCCTGTTTGCTATCGTGATAACATACTATCAATATAAACACACTTATATACTATGTAAACTATCTATTAAGTTAAGACATGAGAACAACACGTAGGTAAGACTCAGTGGGAAATAATTCACATTCAATACAATTAATGAAATGGCTAGAATTTTGTTGTTTAAAAAACCCAAAAAAACCCAAAAAAACCCAATCCCAGTATTACCTTTTCTTGGGTAGGAGTTGGGTTTTTTTGGGTTACACACCCCCCCCCCCCCCCCCCCCCTATTTTGGATAATATACCCTATTATATACCCTATATCTATTATATACCCTATATCTTTATACCCTGTATCAACTTACCAGTGGACAAATGCCCGTTTTCTGAACAACAGATCGAACTTCCTATTCAAGACCTGCCAGACGTCTCCAATACAGGTATTATTAGACAGAACGCTCACAGATCTATTAGTGATAGCGAGATCGCTGTCGGCAGGGAACACGGGTAACCTATGGTTGATCCCAACTTTGAATCCAGTTGGACACCACGAAACAAACTGAACAGCTCTTTTCTGTTTGATGTTGGCGATAGCCGTGTTGACGTCTTTTGGGATCACGTCCCCGCGGTAAAGGAGTCCACATGCCATGTAAGAGCCGTGAGTAGGATCACATGTTAAAAATAGGTTTTCTTTTGAGAACGCCTGCTCTGTTATCTGTCCAACTGAGGTGTTCTGAAATGAGAGCTTGTTAGCATGATATTGTGATCACAAAAATACATTTTTTATCAGGTAATATGGCCAGCACAACAGAACGAACAATGAAAAGCAAATAATTTAATTCCTCTACAATTGACAATGCATGAGTAATGAGTATTGAGTATCTCAAGCAGTAGTGACTTAAATTTAATGCACCTCATGATAGGCCTGTTCAGGGCTTCTAATAGGACCTAGAGCAGTGACAGGGAAATGGATCCTAGGGTACGGGACCAGGTTGGTCTGAAACTCGCTTAGGTCCACATTTAGGGAGCCGCTAAATCGTAGGGAACACGTGATTGCGCTGGCAACTTGGGATACCAATCTGTAGGATTTGGGGATTGTTTATAATATAATATTGAAAATGAGAACTGATAGTAATACTAATAGACACAGACTGAAGCAAGTACATTTAAACGTACCGGGTGGCTCCAAATAAACATTACAGCACAACTGAAACTGTGAAGTAGCAGTAAGTGCACCACAAAATATTATCACATTATTTTATGGTGTGTACCAAACGTTATTGATAAACCAGAATATAATTTATAATCAAGAATCTAATAGCATGTAGATTGTAGATGATTTAAAATCGATAATATAATGACCTGTTAATGTTTGAGTAATAGGGTCGTTCGATATTTAGCCTGGATCGACACAGATTGTACATCGCTTGATTGTCCATGAGGAAGACGACGTCCATGTTTTCCATGCTTGTGTGAGTTAGAAGGACAGCATTATACGGTTCCACTATTGCTGTGGAGATCTGATGGAATTGGAAATGATAACATAATATTATTCCAACATGAACAATCTTATTACTTCTTTTGCATAGTTGATACGTTTCAAAACTCAACATTTCCTGGTGTTTGTTTAATATTAGCACTGTACGTACCGTTGGAGAAGGATAAATTGCACAAGCCAGCCTTGTTTTTGAGGTAAACTCTTCAGCAATGTTATCACATAGGAGTGAAGTAAACCCAGATCCCGTTCCTCCACCAAATGAGTGAAATACAAAGAAAGACTGGACTGTTTCACAAGCCTCTACTTGTCTCCGCACATTTTCCATTGTCTCTTCCAGGAGCTCTCTACCCAACGTGTAAAATCCTCTGGCGTAACAGTTTGAAGCATCCTCCTTACCGCTAACTATTTGACTTGGGTGGAAGAGGGAGCGATAAGGGCCATTTCTTATCTCATCTGGTGATATTTTAGGCAAATTTACAAATTGTAGCTCTATAGCCTAGTTTGTATACATAAAACATCCAAAAATTCGAGGACAATGATTATTGATTATCTGGACTAAATTGTCTATTTATTTACCAGTAACAGTTGGCTCGAGGTCCACGATCACGGTCCTGGGAACAAGTTGTCCACTTTCCGTTTCATTAAAGATCGTATCGTACGCATTTTCATATGTTCGTTGGTTAGCCTTTTTTATGGACGGAGATAGAACTCCGTCATTTCCGATACCGTGTTCCAGTAAGTACAATTCCCAAAGCTGGTTCCCCATCTGGCAACCAGCTTGCCCAATTTGAAGTGAGATGCACTCCCGACCCTGAAGAAACATGAGATTCATTAGATTCATACGAAGGAAGACAGCGAACGAGAACAACACGTGAAGTTACATAAGCTGCCAGACAACAAATAATTTTTTGAAATCATTCCACTGTGCCGTCATATTCATAACCAGTCAAATCATACAGTCAAATAGTAGTCACAATGTCGAACCATCTTCAAAGAAATGGAAATCTGGGTGTTGAGATGTTTCCGAAGTCTACCCGAATAATAATAATTCGATGTTTGTTAGGACAGCTAAGGAGCAATGTCCACATCCCAGAGAAAGACTCTTAAACTAATATGCCAAGAAGTGACATGGGTCTCGAACAGTGCTAAAATCACAAAATAAAATTTCTTGAGACAAAGAATGAAGTCAGGTAGAAGTCTCAAATGTGTGGTGTAATGTCAAATTGCACGTGCAATAGCCAGTTGTCATGACATTTAACATTTTCTATCGTGAATTACGCTGCCAGGGAAAAATGTATACTTCAAATTTCCAATCGAATTTTAGTAGGAAAGTATGATGTAATTAGTCGAAGTCAACAATCGTTTATGAGGACAGAAATAATGTTTTTCAAATTACGATATTATGTCCGATTGCAGAATAGTGCGGCCGGGCCAGCCGGGTCGAATAGATCAACAACACAACGCGCGCACAATAATTAAATTACGCGTGCTAAAATTTTGAAATATCGTACTTTTAATATTAAATACGTCTCTGCGTGTTCCTTTCACAGCGCTAAGTAGACCGTTTCACCTCATTGGCAGTAGATGTTTTCGTCTCAGAATTGCAAGCGAATGTTGCCCCAGTTCAGATACAAAATGGCGCAAAGTTAGGTCCATGCGCAAATGTTACAATTTCGCAAGAACACCTCTCATCTGCAATCAAATGTTGAACAGATAAACTTTCACAGTCCAGGCAAGCAATTTACCGACATGGATCATGTTTGAGTAATTAGATTTCTGCAATACATTGTTACAGTTCGGATGAAAAATAGTGCTCGAGACCTAATTCGAACTCGGACCTTCTGCACGCGAGGCGACATTTGCTTACAATTCTGGGAAATAAACCGGGGCGACATTCTTACAATTTTGCTAGAACATGTCCTCCTCATTGGAGACTGGAGTTAACGACACAAATTTTATCGTTTGTTGCAAAATAAAATAAAATATCCTTGTAATACATAGACAATTTTATAAATCAAATACGATAATCATTTCAATTATTATTAAGCATATAAGTTATAAGATAGATTGTGTGTTCAAATTAATAATCACGTTAAGAAAATTCAAATTCAAGGACAAAAGTCTTGGACGGAAAAACAACTTTAACTTTGGACCTAACAATACTGGTTCATTTCTAAGCAACAATATTAGAGTCACACAAAGCTTGTGAAGCATAATTAAGCAAATAGCACGACAAGACTATAGACATTAGACATGCTCATTAGACATGAGGGCAAAAGTCTAAGTCTACAAACTTTTCTCTTTTAGCTCGTGATTTAGGTACTGGTTTAAGAGAAACTTGCTGCTGAACAGTCCGTTGAGTTGGCTTCACTTGGACTCCTTTGTTAACGAATACTGCTGGAGGGGCTATTTTCCTGATATCCTTCATTCGCGGTCCAGTCTTGGGAGCGGGTATTACAGGTGCTGCAATGTGCTGAATTGCTCCTAGGTTGGGCGCAGCCCGGCGCAGCGGAGGACGTCCGTAGCGCTGTTGGTGTTGGGGACTGAGATGGGGAGTGTAATACCGTGGGTTATATCCAGGCGGAGTGGGTCGCTTGGTACGTGGTATGAACTGAGCCGGCGGGGTAGGATGAGGATATGGCACGGTTTGCCGTATCATTGGCACATGGTGAGATCTACCGGGCACCTCTACTGGCGGTATGATTGTCTGAACTGGAGGTACTAGCAATGCTCGGGGAGGACTCGCCTGCTCAATTCGCTCTGTTTTTATGTGTACTACTTCAGGTTCCTTAGGTTTCCTGATCTCGAGTATCATTTTGGACAATGTTTCAAAATTCAACGGTTTCCCACTGGGATTCTTCTGAAGTTCGTTTATCATTTCAATTACTTTTAACGGGTCGTTTAGAATAAAGTTCCTGACCTTCTCGTTTATAGGGGAGTCATCGGGAACTAGACTCGACAAAGTTTTATTGATATCTAATTTTTCAACAGGTACTTCAACAGTTGAATTTCCTGGAACAGTTTCGACAGCAGCTACCTCCGGCTGCTGCCCGGATAAGGAGAGTCCAGTAAGGTCTGTTAGATTTGAAATGTCCTGGAGATTGAGATCTTGCCGTAATATCTCAACTACAGCCGCCTCAAATTCCGACGGTACAGCGTTTGAGTTTACTACCGCCAAAATAAATGTACACAAATCTGAACTTTTCAAGTACTTGATTAACAGTTTACGTAATCCCTCATCTATTCTTGGATTACTGGTAATCAAATTCGTGAGTTTATCGCATATATTCTTCATTTCATCGTCCATATTCTTCGGCTGACAGTTTGATTCGGCAACATTTTTCGGATGATCAGGTAAATAATGATATAGCTCAATAAATTCCAGGAACTGATAAAAGTCGCAATCAACTGAAATATCTCTGACATGAGACCCGTAAACTCTAACATACTGTGAAACTTTCTTCGTTTGAACCTTGACTTTCTCGACCACGTTAAACTGAAATTGAACGTCGTTCAGAGTCACTGTGAACTGAAATGTGAAGTTGTAAAAGTTCGTCAAAAGACTCGGCCACTGTACCGGCGGAGGTGGGATCGTGGTCGCATTCCTGACATTCTTGTCGAAGTGGTGAATAGTTTGCGAGTGGAAAAGGTCGTCTATCCAGAGCAAAGGACAGCAGTGAGTTTTGTCTGCTATCTTTACTGATAACTCTAAACTAGCCGGGAGATTAAAGTCTTGCGGTACCTGTAAAAGGATCGGTAAAATCGCATAAAAATTCGAGACAAAACGGGGACTCGGTTTAAATGAATAAAATATTATGCACATAAATATCATATTAGACAGTCTGATTCATAGCATGCGGGTTGATAAGAGAACTAACCAGAGATAAGTTAATGTATTTCTGAAGGCCAGTTGCAGTGCAAGGAATTTGAGCCTGTCTGGCTGGCAACTCAGGTTGTCTCGTCTCCAGGCTGGGTGTCTGCAAACTCTCCACAGAATGGAACATTCTGGGCCTTTTGTTGGAGGAACTTGGAGGCGTCTCCCGTAGTCGTTTCCCCTTAACTGAAATCTTTACTTTTATACTCTGAAAGGAAGAATGTTCGTTATTCTTAGTCATTCGCTATTTATAAAGTTATAAAGGGGTAAATTGAATATTGAGCTTGTGTTCACAACACAAGTTGTGTTGTGAATCTGATTATTTGACATGAGTTATGTGATGAAAGACAAAACATGTTTTAAAACCCTGATTGGATTCCTTTTTACAGATTGGCTGATTTTTGTTACCTTTTTGTGAATTGTGATACGTTTATAAGCAATGAAAGTCGGCGTGAGCGTTTCCTTTTTACTGACACTCGAGTTTGTTGAGAGTGAAATGTTCTCCGATCTTGATTTATTAATCACACGTTTTTACATCTTTGTGATTTGCGTGACGGCGAGTGTTTGCTTGGTGTGTGTGGTGTAGAGTCAGATGGTTGGAAACTACTGATAAAGTTAGGTGGTAGGGTTGGTATTACTTTCGTGATATTGTGGCAATGTGATCCAGTCTGAAAGATATTCAGTTGGGGATATTATCTTCTTTATACGATTTGAATTTATAATGAGTTGTGTATATCGATAATAAATTTGAACAATTTGACGAGGGAAACATAAAGTAACCAACAAGAATACCTTAATTATGCCTATCTTTGAAACAAGCCTATCCGCTGAAATAGCAAAAAAATGTGACGTGACGATGATTCAAATCAACAACAAACCACAGCACAACCACATATACAACACACACTAAGGCAGAGCTGGTGCCGGCAGGAAAACTAAAAGTTCCAAAATTAATTAAATTAAACCGCTACACACTGCCATATTACATCGATCACGTGATGAGGTCACCTGACTCGAATGAATTTCAAGCCTCCTTCCTTGAGCTTAATTTAATTACCTGACCACCCTACTAAGGTTGGTTTATCAAATGAGACGAAATTGGCTGATTTCTAATAACACGAATGAAAAATTCATTAAATCATACCAAGTGTTACCAATAGTTTTAACCACATAATTCATCGTAAAAAAAGCACGGCTATCCGTAATCCGTAGCTCAAAATTATTTCAATAGCATAACTTTAAACACCAATTAATTTGATAATGCACAAATTAAATTATGCAATCAAATCTGAGGTTCTGAGAAAGGTCTACGTCTCTACCTGGTGTGTGCAGGATGTATGTCATATCTAATTAAAGCTGCCGAGATACATGTAATACACGGCTACAGAACGGGAGTTGCCAGACAGGCACACTGTGAGTGGACAGTGAGTAAATAATACACACCCTCCTCTCCCCTCATAGTGGGCCAATATTATGTGTACGTCTTTAATCTTCACGCATGCAATATTTATTTATACTAGAGATATCGAAACGTTGAAAGAGAGGATGCCATGTATATTGTATATAATGTATAACTATATTATACTGTACATAGTGTATATTGTATAAATGAGTGTAATGCGATGATTCTACACTACGTTTCTGGTATTCTGCAGGTAAAGTGGTTATGCGGCTAAAAGAGTCGGTAAATCTTACATTTTGAGTACAGGGAGTACTGAGGTACAGATTGTGTATACTTCATGTACAGTACACTGTAAACAGTAGAATCCCTATTTAGTGTTTACCGCACCCCCACATACCCTGGTTTTACTATACAGTGCAGTACCGGTGTCTACTTAATAGTTTACACCGTATATTGTGCGTACTCTGACTCCTGTAAACTATGTAGTAGCAGTCACATAATGACTTTAGTGAGCGCCCACTAATGGTCATGTCACCAAACCAACTTAATCGAGAGTAATTAAGTATTGCTGTTCATAATGTTGAAGAGTTAGGAGAGGTAGAGACTACAGGACCAATCAGCTTGTGTTTACATTCGTAACAAAGTTTGCCCAGTTTGCAGTGAAGAACCGATAACAAAAAATTTCATCAAGAATCTCATCAAAAAATCTGATGAACAAATATTTGAGATCTCGTTGCCTCGACGAGCAGCAGATAAATATAGCAGTATGATTTACGTTGGATGTAGTCGATTCTTGAATCGAGCATGGACAAAATCATTAACTATAAATAAAAGCGCATCTCAGTACCCTCGCTATCCAATCTTATCAACAGAAGATTTCTACTTTTAACACCACGTTAACAAAAGATTGAGGGTGATAGTCAGATGTAATGATACTGCGCAGCATTGTGTATAAATAGTACCCGCTACTGCTCACTACTTAGTGATCAGACTTGCAGCAAATTCTAGCAAGATATCGTGTTTTATTTGGTACTATATAGAAAACCGAGTTCTAGGTATTTAGTGTATGCTAGTCAAGCTCTAGTCACGAAGCACGAACGGCAGGGCGTACCGTAAGGTAGAAATGAAACGAGTATATTAAAATGGATAATTAATTAAATGGAAAAGTAATACAAAGTGAACGTCAACAGATAAAAACTTCCAAGTGTTCGCTCCAAGCGATTGCCGTGAATATAGATCACACTACGTGTCTAGTCACAGAGAATAGTACTCAGTTAAACCGGCTATTGACAATCGAATCCCTTAAAATGATTAAGGGGCAACTAAGAAGTGAGCTCTCCACTTCCGGCTCTTCGGGTATACTCTCAAAACACGTCACGCCACACTGCGTGACGGCACAACGCATCTGCTTGCACCACGTGACTTGCAGTCTCGCCAATGAGCACTCCACTAGCAGTCACCCTGTGTCCGCGAGGACCAACCACAGGTCTGGCTGTTAGTCAGGTGCAAAGTGAGCGGACGGCTCGTTACAGACAGTTAGTCTGACAGTAGTTCTGCCAGCCAACCGACTTACACTCAAAATGTGTAACTCCCAAATACGAACATATAAAAACATTGGTTAATATATACCCGGAAACACATACTAAATTCTACGTCCCGTAAACGTTATACTAAAACTAAGATATCCTAAAAGATATCTCTAAATACCATATTACAACATCTCTACCCAAAAATTTTTTTCGAATATTTTAAAACAATAAAATAATCGCCCTTTTCAAAATTTAAATTTCAATGCTCCCACGCATCAAAAGTCCAAAACTTAAAAATAAGTCAAGTCTCAAAATATAATACACGGCCCTAACCCTGTGCATTAAATTTAAATCATCAAAATCCTTAAGTTAAAACTGAAATTGACCTTCACAAATCTTTCAAAACCTTCAAATACTTCCCTCTTGCACCAAGCTGTAGAGTCTTTGGTGTTGAGTCTTCATCCTTAGATAGAGATGTATCGAATCTCTAATTCGTCCTTGACAAGCAAACAAAGAAGTCAAAATAAATTCGAAAGTTTCTACGTTTCCGCCACTAAAGCAGCCCTGAGCGAGTCGTGTTGCGAGTAAAGATCCTAATAACCCTATCAGTACTGTTCTGAAAGATACACGTGTTATACCTAAGTAAGGTACTAAATCACTGCTAAGTACTAAATGGAAAGTTCTAGCTAAGTGCGTAAGATATTACTGTACTGAGACTAGATTCCAAAGTAAGTGTACTCCCTGTCAGGGCTTCTTCTCGTCTTCTACTGGTTCAAATACCTCAAGAGATCCTTGACCACACTAACTTTCTCGTACCCTAAACGGTCAGGTTGTCTCCGTTCCTCAGGTCTCCTAGTGTTATATCTGCGCTCCTCCCTCGGAGGGCTCTGTCTCCCTAGATTTACAGGAGAAAGCGATCCTGTTGTGTCAATGTCGTGCTCCTCAGCATCATGTGACATAAAACTGTTAGCACCTATCGTTCCTTCACTAACAACCGGACTCGATGATCTTCTAGCGGCCGATCTCTCTCTAGCTGGAGTGAAGAACTCTGCAGAATTATCAACTGTTTCTACACTATCGCCTGAGGGAATGTTATGTGTGAGAGGTGTTACAGTACTAAAACTAGGATTAGTAGAATTCATATCTAGTTGTGCAGGACTATTAACAACCCTAGGAGTAGAACTTAAACTAGGTTGTTTATAATTGCTAGCTGCACCATCCTTCTCCAGACGAAACTTCTTCGGATGAACCTCTTTTCTCCTTGCTACAACTGGTGCTCTTCTCAGTTGAAAATCTGTCTCCTCTTCACTATCACTATCGGAATAGACTACATCTCGCCTTGATGAGTCCGTCTTTAACTCGGCTTCACTGCTAACAATTTTAGGCAATGTAAAGCTAGTCTCTAGTTTCTCAGAAAACTTGTTCCTGACATATCTCTTTAACTTTCCAATGTTAAACACCTTCTTCTCTCCATCAGGCAAATCTAAACAGTACAAGTGATCGTTTATCTTCTTAGAGATCTTATACGGGCCAACCCAACGAGGACCGAACTTGTGCTTTGGACAATTTATCAAAACAAAAGCTTCCTCACCTTCCTCAAAGAATGGTCCCTTCACGTGCTTATCGTGATATCTCTGTGCATAGCAAAAATCACGCTCAGCTTGGACCCTCACCTTCCTGGTGATAAACTTGAGATTCTTGTACAGCTCGTATGCTTCAACATCAAACTCATTCTCCTTCATAGGCTCTAGCTCGAAATCCTTACGATTCTCAGCTAGCAGGCTTAACGGTGTGTTTAACTCACGACCAAACACCAATCTGTTGCTAGAATAACCTGTGTGCCGATTCCGCAATGAGTTAAGTACAAAGACTACTCTTGATAACCAAAGATCCCAGTCCTGGTACCGTCCCTGGTGGTAAGCTGGTTCTCAGGGCAGTATTCAACCGACGGTTCGCTCTTTCAACTCTTCCAGTACTTCGAGAAACGTACGGTTGGCCATGAATGTATTTGCAATCTAGGGCTTGAGCTATGGTCTCGAAATAATTAGCTCTAAAACCCGGATGATTATCAGCCATCATGAATCTAGGCTGGCCAAAACGATCAATCCAAAACCTACGAATCAAAGACACGCTCTCCTTAGCTGTCTGGGTCTTAGTAGGAATAGCTACCACATAATTTGACCAACAATCGGTTATAGTCAAAATATACTTGTAACCTCTAGGTGTAGCACCAACCTTCTCAGGAACTATATGATCGAAACAAATTGCTGAGTTAAA